AAGTTATCTGAAAACTTCTTACCTGAACTAGAGATGCAAAGTAAAATTTTAGTCTGTCTCTAAATTACGCAATGAAAGGTAAACTCCATCAGGTCGTTCCAAAAATATGAGTCTTTCGCAAGATTTTTCGCGTCGCTTCCGCTCGTAAAGATCTCAGAAGCAGGCGAGAATCTGTGCTATGGAACACGTGCGTTTCTTTGATTTGACGAGCACGTGTTTAATCTTGAACCAGCAAAAATGTTGAGGAGGAGTTTACCAAACGGATATCCGAAATGGGAAGCGATTTAAGGCAAAAAATTTCCGTGTTCTTTGTAGAAACGAAAATGTTTTGAGAAATGTAAAGGCAGTTCTAACACAAAAATTAGATGCTTCTAAGAGATTCTCCTGCGAATCTGTTCGATCGGCTCACAAAGTCAACCTCGTACTTGGCTGTACTAGAGTACCTGGCGTGAGTAGAAAGCGCTAGAGATAGAAAGAGAGAAAGCTAGTGAAAAGTTTGACTTGTTAATAATTGATTACGTTCCTGGGTTAAGTGACAACAGATTCAATCAATATGAAATTTCAATAATTAATTTTGTGTTTTGAAAATAGCTTCAATTGTTTGCTAGAGAAAGTTATTAAATATGGATGACCTGTCAAGTAGGTTTCCATAATTCATAGCGCTGGCATTTTATGGCAGTGAAAATTTACCTCGCATTCCGACTTAAATATTCTGTTCTATGTTGACGAAAGAAATGAACTTTAATCAACTCTGAAACAAGGTGAAAATGATAAAAACTTAGGCGGAGCTTTCGAAAAAGACCATTTTAAAAATTGGCAATTGTCTCACGCGGATGTTTCTGTTTCGAAGATGTTTGCCCGAAGGAGAATATACTCCACACAACACCCAAAGCTGAAACTTTGATGAAAAAGGTTATTTTTTAAGGAGTCTCTGTTCGATTAACTTTGTTCTTTTATTTGGCTCCAAAACATGCGAAGCAAATATTTATGTTAGGGTCGGAAAAGAATACATCGCGATTTGTTACTCAAGGCTTTTGAGAATTTCCTTGACTATAACTACTACCAGAATACCGAGACGCAATTTTTATATTTGACATATTTATTGCTAATCAAGAAATGTTCTCGAAACTGTGGTTGCTTTAGGAGACCACTATTCATTCGGAAAAGTGGGAACCTTTTAGTCAGGTTCACTGGGCCTCTTTAATTTTTCATAAGGGTTGTCTCGCTTGTTAGCTGTGTGTAATTGAGATCTTTCCAATCTAAACATAGGAAACAGTTTATGGTAAGCTATGAAATAATGATCAAACTCAAATAGAATATTTAGCACTGGAGTTATCTGACATTAAACAATGCAGTTCCATAGACTTTTGTTCTTTTTGTTTCAAAGGAATCAGTGTTTTTGACATATGTCAACGAAATCAGACTCTTCTAAAGCAAGCTCTTCAGTTTCTTTAATATTGCATTCATTTGATTGAATGTTAGAGAAATGAAGAACAAACTCGCTGTCGCGGAATATTAATTAGAAGGAACTGCTTCACTCCACAGAATCTTGTTGGACTGTAATGTAATTGACCTTTATTTGCGCTTGCCTATTAAGACCAAGGTAGCTTAGTGGGGTGCCTAAGTTAATAAAAACCAAAACTTGAAAAATACAAAATAAACCTGCAATTTATCTCCGATTAACCATTCGTTTCAAGCTAGAAAAGATTTTACAACACAAAATCACTTTATTAGTAATGCTTCATGTTTTGAGTTTTGGTGGTAACGTTGAAAATATGTCAAGTTTAGATACTGACAAAGTGTGTTATCTGGACACAAACAAGTAGAGAGATGAAATCACTTTTTTTTTTAAATCAGTGTTCAGCTTGGCAAAGCACAGAAACAAGATAAATCTAATCGGAAAAATTTGACTGGAATGTATATGAAAGAGTGCCGCTTTTTTCTGGTAATGCTATGTCAAAAGATAGCTACCTTATTTCCACCTCTGTTTCAATTAATCTTTATCACTGAATCTTTAAGCTATAAGAAATTACTCAAGAATCCACAACAAATGAAAAAAATTTGACGTATTGCTTTTATTGTCAAAAATGCTTAAAATGTCGCGAAAGAGGGAGTTCTTGAAAAGATAAAATCTCTTTATTGATATTCAATTTTCGCATGTCGCTATTTTTTCGTTATCATACGTCTTGGGGGAAAGTAGTAAAATATGATAAAAGGAGACTTGAAATTAAAATCTAACCAAAGATTGATCATTTCGTAATGGTCATTCCTATGTTCAAATGCAATGTAATCTCTTGAACTACACTGATTTAGCCCTAAGAAATTTGGATCAAAACGCGCACGCAGTAACTTTTTAAATAATGAATCGGGAGCGATGGGAACTTGTCCTCATGGTAGTTTTTTTAAAGTTTTGGTTCGTGACATTTAAGTCAAATTGATTGCGCATGCTCCGACTTGGCAGGTGAGTCTCACCGGCGCGAAAATGAAATAGTAACTGCGCTAGTATGGATGAGTTTGAAACAACTTTTTCTATCAAAAAAGAATAACACTGTTTTTTAATTTGAGTAAGCCACGTTTGGAATCATATAATCGTGTTGCGCTGTTTTTATTATGATGTGAAAGCCTTTGATTATCTTTGTAGGGAATAAATACGAACATTGTATGGTATTTCAATTAATGACAATTTGCCGAGTTCTTTTTCTTTTGATCCCTAGTTTTTCTAGTCTGAGTTGTTGTTGGTGTCTCAAAATTGTTAAATGGATCCATTCTTAAGAATTGGTTCCACGCTTGATGATATAATTAGACAATTAAATGCAAAACAATATGTGGCTTTTGGCGGATTGAGCCACTCAGACTTTTGATAAACCTTTTCCTAATTTTACTCATGAAAATTTCTGAGTAGCATGCGAGAACTTATGATTTAAACATCTATAAAAGACAGTCGGAGCTAAATAGATATAATTGATAATAATAATTTATCAAATAGGTTAATCTTGAGTCACGAATACGGAGAAACAGATGAATCTTTTAGAACCTTTTTATAAGATATGGAAACTTTTAGATTTTTTTTAAGAGATAACTGCACTGACTAAGTCTTAATGCTTTCAATTCCTGGGAGATGAAAATTTGTTTATTTTTAGTTCGCAAGTTTAACCACCCTGTGAACGGAAAATTACTTTTTTTTTTACCACTTGATGTGTTAATTCAGTAAATGACCACGATCTTGTTTGGTTGATTCTTATACCTGACTCTAGATTACATCATGGCCTTCTAAAAGTTCATTTTATCAAATAAGCATACCTTTGAATTTCACGAATGATCCACGTCCTTCAGGCAAGGTTTACAGCTGTAAACTGCGTTGAAACTTCCATCGCCTATTGATGTCCATCAGGTTAAAAATTTCTTTCCATTTCATTTTATCAGAGAGACTTTTAACCTTCATGCGGTCATACTTTCCAACGATGGAATATTTCCGTAAATCAAGGGTCATTGTGCCACAGATGAGTTGACAAACAGCAAAAATCCAGTTAAGTTTAGGAGCTTAAGATGAGGCGGGTTAGTTTTCACAAATAATAGAGTAAATGAACATGAGTGAACTTTAGTGGTCTCAGTTGTTGATTTTCTGACAGATCAACCTGTCACCAAGCAGGTTATTTACTGGTAATGACGGGTGCGCTTCATTTCCACAAATCTTTTTTTGAACGATTTATCAGTTTATCACAAATTATCTTAAATATTTCCTTTCCTCTAATTTCCATCTGTCTTTCGTGGACTTACAGGTTTGAGCACATACGAATTCAAGATACCGACGGTTGAACCAACACGGTGTCAATGATGCGATTTTGGTATTAAACAGGTTAGTTGGAGACAAATTTCTGTTTTTATCACAGATCTTTGTAATTGAGGGTGAACTTTGTGAGGTTGTGATCAATTCTTTATTTTTTTCTATCATCTCTACTATTACCATAAATGTTAAATTTCCTAAAGAGTATCTGCTCACTTCAAATCAAATGCCTGGTACTACAAGATGTCAACAGGAGGCGAGGCAGACCAATAGTAATTAGGGGGTGGTGTCTGTCCCGTGAGATCTACAAATTGATCAGCGAACCAAGAATTCTAAGTGCATTTCCTAGTGGAGATTTTGTATAAGCTCATCAAACAGCGCATGACAGCAGCCATAATTTAAGATCATTATTTGAAATTGGCGCCAAGTGGGTTCTCAGACGCTGTGTTTGACAGGCAGGACTGTCATTTACTTTCAACCTGTTCGATGCAGTTCTACATCATATGATTAACTGTGACGATGATACTTGCCACAGAATTATAAAACTCAAGCTGCCAAGCTCAGTTTGACCTCGACATGAGGTTGACGAGGCGTGAACACAATTCTGTTACATAGATGATTTTTCCCTCCATTGTGAAGCCTCTCTCCGAGTTATTCTTAATTGTAACCAACTAAAGGTGCAAAAAGAGCGAACATTTTCCGCTTCACTTCACTTATTTTTACTCTCGAAAAAGATTGATGAATTAAACTTGCCTGACTATGCAGTCTGTACTGGGTGCGAACACTGGGTGCCCCCTTCTCCACTCCCAGTCGGCCACGCCTTGTCCTCTCTTTACGAAAGAGAGCAATCAGAGATTGTTCCGGCAATTCTTCTTACCAAAAGACCCTGGCTGTAGAAATTGGAAATTTCCGCATAAGTCACCTTTTTTATTTGTTATTTACACACCAAATGTATAACACGATACCTCCAATGTTTGTTTCCCTCTCTCACCGTTATATACCTAAAATAAGTGCTACTCTTTATAAATATGGTGGTGTATATTTAGCATCTCTTTCGGTTATTGCTTCAGTCAAAATCTTCAGTTCTTGTTTTTTTAGCTTTTTGTGAAAAAGTCAAAACGAGAAATTTTATTACCACGAGCCACATATATGCTTTCCTCTATACTATTTGCTTTTTTTTTCTGATGTAAATTTTTTTTTCGACAGGTTGCTGTTTGTAAAGTGTTTTACCATGATTACACTTTTAACATTTCTTCTCCCGATTTTGCTTCATGAATGCAATGTCATTGGAAACGTCACTGCAGCATCAAATAGTAAGTAAACAAGTCTTCTTGAAAACAAACGTTTCAACTCGGATATTGCATCTAGTCAACAGCTGACACTAAACGGCAATGTGGCTTCCCAGATAAATATCCTAATAAAACAAGGCTAAAGGGAGTGGTGCTGAAGTCCACACTTCAGCTAAGAAAGGCAGATTATCACGAGAATACTCACGACTAAGTTAATCAACGAAATATCATACCGACAGTATTTCTCAGTCTAATTTCGTTCTTTCAAACAACAATTTGTTCTCAGATAAAACATGTTGGACCGAATGCACAAAAACATGTGGTGGTGGAATGCAAGTCACTTGTCTAAATAACACGACAATAACGAGAGCCTGCAATACGAGGCGCTGTCCAGGTTAGTATGGGTATGTCCCTTTTGGCTTTTAGTGTTTATGCTGCTTCGGAACAAAAAAGGGTGAACTTAAGCCAGAACTGGAGACATCTTTTTCATGTTAGATATACCATTTATCGTGTAAGATAGCAATGCTCAATTTTTTGTCATTTTTCATGAACAAACCTCAGGGGATCCCGAGTGGACGAAGTGCACTTTATCTTGTGGCGGAGGGATACAGAAGAACATTGACAATAGCAGTATTCTGCGAACGTGTAATACTATGCCTTGTCCAGGTAAGTAATTATTATTAGTTTTATGTCGGTCTCCCGGTTTGAAAACAAGACCAATTTTGTTCATAACTATTTATGATTTATTGCGTGCTCAGCAAGAGAGGATATACATATTCTTCTCTTGCTGGCCGGTAAAAGTCAATAGTAAAAATCATACGTCTCCTTGCTCTCAGCTCCCAGTGTCATAAAACACCGCATGAGTTCGTACCCAGCTTTCTGTGCTATCACATTCTTTCAGGAGATGCGGGGTGTTTATCTGCTTACCTTAGCTTCGAACACGTTTACGATCACATTGTCTACGACGAGTCACATAATGGAAACGCTGGAACAATGCATGGATGCGCGCGCATCGTAAGCAATGGTAAATTTGGCAAAGGATTGCAACTGAGCGAAGATGGAAATGTAACATTTGATGTAGAAAAATTTAGCAATCGACCAACAGATGCAATTACTATATCTTTGTGGCTTAATTTATCACAAGTCAATGGTTCACACGAGCTTTTTTTCACTTGCGGCACTCCTGAGCTCTATAATATGGGTGATTATCATTTTGCAATCGAAGATGGGAAAGTCCATTGGCTTGAGGAACTTCCTGGAGGTGGAACGCGTTTTAATGTTTCTTCAAGTATGTATCTCACCTTTTTATCTTTTTATACAAATTTCTGACTGTTTTCATTCTAAATCATCATTTTTCTTTAGCTCTCTTTCACAAATGCGCTTTGCAACTTGTTTATAGTAAGCTAAGAGACAGAAACTTGTTCGCTTGATCTAGTCCCATGGAGACAACTCAGGGGTCTATGTGTCCATGCAGCAGAAAAAAATTAGTTCTATCGCCAGTTCTCCGACTATTGTCCGTCCTCCTATATTTCTTACAGTTTAAGTAAGGTTCATGGGTTTTCGTTTACAGATCTGTACATTTAAGCAAACAAAAATAATCAAGGCTTGCATAGTGAGCTGCAAATATTTACTGTTACCATGGCACGATCTCTTCTGATTACCTTAACTTGTTTCACAGATACTACAATAAAAAGCAGTACGTGGTACCACATCACAGGGACCTACAGACAAAGCACAGGGAGGGCACGACTTTACATTAATGGACTCCTGTCAAATGAAGTGCTACCTTCGATGACTCCAAAACGGTCAGCAGTACCTAAGCCCAATAATACCACGCATGCGCAATGGAAGTGTGCCAATTTAGGCAGTTCACCGAAAGAGAAGCCTTTACAAGGCATTATAGATGAATTTCGGATCTTTAAATGCGAGCTCTTACCACAAGAAATTATGGATTTGTACAATAAGAATACTGTCAAGAAATTTCGAATTCCAGCACTAAAATCAAATTCGTTAATGAGACGACCCCAATGGCGAAAAGACTTTTCTGAATCTCTTTCCTTAAAAAAATAATGATCTCTATGCATGGAAAGTTTATAAAACTTCGATCACTGAACAGTTGTATCGCCTATTGCTGTACCAGCTGCTTTCATTTTTCGGATATATTCTTCTAAAGTTTACAGAGGATGAAATTTGAAGTAGATTATTTATTCCAACGTGTTTTGTGTCACTATGAGGAAGGAGTGGGAATATGCTAAAATAAGGAACACCGGACAATGGAACACGCCGGGACACCGCGGACTAAAAGTAACGATAATAGTGAAATAAAAAGAATTAATATATATTATATATTATAAAAAAGAATTGAAAAGAATGAAATTATGTGTGGTTCGTGCCCTTGCTCCACGTGGCAAGTCCGCCGTCAAGTTTTCCGTTCACCAATAACCTCGTTGTAGGTGCCAGGAGGACTGGTGCTGTCGATGCGTTGCTCTATTTCAGTAGCGTAAATAACTTAAACACGAGGAAAAGCTCTCAGCTTTAGGAGCGAGTTATAGATAAGCGCACAAATTAAGATATGGCATTGAGCTATCGGAGCTAAGAAAACACTCACGCAATAAGGAAGCTTCCCGTCTGAAACACAGACAGAGCAGTAAAAAGATAGATTTCTTGTTTGCGAACACAAGAAATATTATCAAAGCTTGAAGTGATAGCAGTAGACTTTGCAATGGACACTTATATAACCTTGCCTTTCTTACTGTTTAAGAAAACCGCAGAGCATCTGTGGCGATGTTATCAGTCAGTCGAAAATCAAGATGGCGGGCACTACTCTGACTGAGAGCGTAAACAATTCCTAATTGATTTTTTTTTCATTTTATTACTTTTAATGTTTCGCGGTGTTCCAGAATGTTCCCGTGTTGAAAGATATTCCGGTGCTTTGACGCGTTCCAGCCTTCCGGTTTGTTACTGTGTTCCGGTATGTTCCAGTGTTCCAGCATGTTGCGGTGTTCCGGCATGTTACGGTGTTCCGGAGCGTTCCAGTGTTCCAACATTTTACTTTTAATCCATCCAATATCTCATTAGCTGAAGTTGTTTGGACAAGTCTCTTGACTCTCATTATTTCAAAATGATTGCATGACATATTCCTATCTGCCGATGAACACCGCAACGTAACGCCGATGAACGCTCCGGTTAATAAAAGTTCGGTAGTGAAAGAAATGGCATCCATCTTGCTCAATCTGAATATTAGCCAACACTAAACAAGTTAAATTCTTCGCCACGTGGTAAGAAATTTTCCACGAAAAAGATAGCACATGCCTGTTTTTCTGTATGAGCTTGGACTCACTCCTTCGTTAAATTTTTTTTATGCCCAACACCGAACATGTCGCAATGTCTAAGTCGATTTTCTAATCTTGTCCTCAAGAGGAACCACGAGGGATTCCTCAAAGACAAAAGACTGAAGTACGTTCAAGACCAGTATTAATTTCTCATCATCAAGGCCTTTTTCGCCACCGGCGCAATTAGAGCAGATGATGATCTCCATAGGAGAAACCTTCCTCGCTTCTCTAACATTTCTTGTTAAAAGGCAGGCCCCCTTTAGAAAACTACCATGAAATTAGTGCTGCAAAGAAAAATTAACTGAACATTCTTTGTGTTAAAATGATATGCACAACAGGCAGTATGGGTTGTGAAGAGTAAACAAAAACCATGCATAGTCGCCTGAAATTTGAAATACTGAATGCACAAGCTCTCATTGAAGGTATCTGTTTTCGTTTCGTGTAAATTCTTTTTGTAAACTATAAAATTGAAAAGTAGCTTTGTAGACTTAACAAATTTAATGGAACACGTGTCTTTCAACACCACCGGGACATAACTGATAAAGCTCTTACGTTGAAAGCCTTATCAAGCTTGTCCATCAGTCATCAGTGCTGAAGAGAATACGACGAAAGAAATTTGTTATGAAAACAAGTGATAAAAGTAAATTTCCTTATTAATTTCACACAATGAAAATTTTATTGGAAAAGTTAGCCAAAGAGATCTATTAAAACAAAACGCGTTGAGTGAGGTCCCGATTCTGACCATATCATTGCGCCTTAACTCTAAGCTGACAACCTGCGAATTCTGATCCTCAAATTCATGTGCAGATTGACGTTTGTATTAGTGTTGCACACCCTGGAACTTTCTCACCAGACCTGTTATCTGTAAAATTACCTCGACACACTTCATGTGACACTAATTTTTTGTTTCATCTAACCCCTATATTAACGCTACTTCGCAAAGTCGTTAGAGTGGAAACCCTAAATCGATGTGGCCCTTCCTTCGAAAGGGACAAAATACATACAATTTAAAAACGGTTTCGCGTCTTTGAATACCGCGTGTTAAAGAAACCCCTAAGAGTGAAGTGTTTTTGCGAGGGACGCATTTGGACATTTGCTATTGGTTTGCTGCGAGAATAATTACGAACAAAAGAGCCGACCCTGCACGTGTAAGTGATTGAGACTTTCAAAATTAATTTAGGTGTGGGGACACACAGGAAGACTGAAAAGGACTACGTAATATTGATGTATAAAGTAATAATTAGCTTAATTGCACCGATCGATCAAACACATTATTTTAACGATAAATGCATTGTTCATCAGTGTACCTCCCTTATAGTTTAATGGAAGTTTTTCTTGCGACGCAACTGCCCCAGCACAGTGAGCAGAAAGACCAGCACATATATCAAACTGCTTTTTGTATTTGGATTGTGAAAATGAGCGCAGTTGTATCCACATTTGATGAAGTCGAAATTATTATTAAAAGCCAACCGATAGATCTTAGAAGTCATGGTAAATCCACAATTGAAACCTTCAGCTCTGACCAGGGTAAAAAAATCGAGTAGGACAGCAGTTATATTTCCGAGCTATTCTTTAAATAACTGCGTTACTTTTGGTCCAAAGAACACCCATGAAGGCGAATTTTCATCTATTAATAACAGTCGTACACTTTATTCAAATTTCTAACTGAATTCTAACACTAATCGCTTTGACTGAACGAATTGATTATACTGTACTCTAACAGCATGCATTAGTTTCTAAAATTTGCCAATATTTATGGTGTAACAAATATAAATACTTTTTTGTGAGTTAAGAATATTACACAGTTCAAGCACTTTTAGGTAAATTAATGCAGAGTTGATGGTTATTATTTTTTTCATTTTCTTACCTCAAAGACTATTGTGTTTACTTGCATAAGATTAGAGAGTCACGCATACACAACATTTGTTCTCTCCTTGATCGTTTTTTAGGTTTTTATTTGTTGTCGTTTAAATAAATGCTTCCGAAAATTCTGAGATATGAACGATGATTAAGTTTTGAGAGACATTTTGTCAAAATTTATTGCGAACACGAGTAAATAATAATTTGTGGATATCTGGATATATTCATTAGACTCTTAGACTTTCAGACAAAATTAGTTTAACACTCCTTTTGTTTCATAATTTTAAGCAAAAACAAACCGCAGAAAAAAAGGGAAGAAAAGAAGACGTTATAGCTTCCTTTGGAAAAACGTTGGAACTCGGACGAAAGGCTTTTCATCTTAAGTATCGGTTGATTGAATGTTACTGCCCATTGACTTTCCTTCTTGTCGTCACCAAGAAAATTTTCTTTCACAGAACTGAAGAACATTTTCAATTGATTCATCATAAAATTGCTCCTCCTTCGTGTTATTACATGCTGAGATATTTTCAATTCGGTGATTAACGAAGAAGTCCCTTGTTACGCAATTTCCTCACTCTTATTTTACTGTACATAAAATATTAAAAAGTGCGCCTAGAGACTCAGATGTAGCATTGCGTATTAGTGCGCCTTCTTTCTTTTGGCAAGGAGCAGGTGTCATATCTGTCAAGGTTAACATATTTTCCTTTGCAAGTTAACAACGTAATTTATAGCTCTTCTTTTTACATCTGGGTGTTACCTTGTGATTACTTTGTCTCGGATAGCTTTTCATTTGTGGGACGGTGCAGAACTCTTAACCGTGTTTAAGCTCATCCGGATATTGAGATAGATTGCGCAATTTATTGGGAATAGATTGCGCAATTTGTTGAACTTTAAAATAAACTTATAAGAATTAAAACTGGCGGCACCTTCAATTTTTCATATTTATCTTGAAGGGAAGTACTTAATATTTAAAGTTTGCTTTTCGCTAAATTTGAAGTGACAAATGTTGCGAAACTTCATACTCTTCATTATGAAGATCATGCATTATTGAACATATTTTAAACAGTCAATTCATGGAAGGAAAAAAAAACTCCCAATGTCTTTACTTAATGTAATATTTTAGAAAAAGCTTAGAGCCAGAATAAAAGTTAAACAAAGACAAGGTGTTATGTAAGTTAGCATTTACAACAAGTCAGCTAATTAAACTCGAACAAAACCTCACATCCGTTTTCAGGAAATCATTAGATAAGAGGATAAACTTTAAAGCTACTATTTTTAAGTTTCTGTTTTCACAGTTTTTAAAATCAGAAACAGGGCGATACTTTTAAAATGTTTTCATGAAAGAAACCCTAGCTTTTGATCGCGTGTCTCCGATGCAATAAATTAGCAACTGAATCCGTTAGATCCTCACAACACCCGTAGGCAGCACCACCTTTGGGACTAAAAATAACACCATAAGTAGTTCATGTGAGTTTTGAAAGGGAACTCCCCCCTCGGTCCTTCAGATGAAACATCATTAAGATAGAAGTAAGATTTGCACGAGGCCGGCCGGCTGAAGGTAGTTGGTTCATCGAGTTTTTCTTTTCAATTACTTTTTTTCATTAGAATCCAATTGTCATGTGAAATATTTGCCCGAATTTTCGGCGATGTTTTATGAATGGTGAAAAGGTAACCACTTCCGCTACAGAAATACAATGACCCTGATAGAGTTTAGTTAAGAATCGAAGAAGCACTTATCTTCAAAAGACGATAACCAGACAAAATGAAGTCCGGTGTGAGACAGCCATTAAGCTCGAAAAAAGCAAGTTTAATTACGCAAAAGAAACTAAAGAACAAGCTAGCACTTTGTGTGTCATTCGCGTGCGAGACTTCATTTACACGCATTTTGAGTGTTCTTAAACAACCCTACGTCGGTGATTATGCCAGTAAACCGATAGAATGTTCGGTTTATTGCTTTCACGAAGAAATCTTAATGGTGTACTTTTTGAATGTTCTATCTGTTCAATACGCAGCGGGTTTTTAAGATTATCTTAGATATACACTGCTCACAAAATGCCCAAAACAAACGTTTGCCTACTTATCTGGAAAAATGCGTTCTCTGTTCAAAACTTATTTAGTTTAGACTCATTTCCGACTCAAAAACTCCACTTTATTGTGCTCAAAGCTTAATTAGAGTAATGTATGTAAGTATAAGTAAGTTTGATAGGAACACGCGGCAAATTGTCGGCAACCGTCTAGTCTGTTAAGTGTTTCATCCAAGCAATTTATCACAAAACAATAAACTTCCCAGTCAGTGAAAGCAATGCCTTTAATTGTTGTCACGAAAAGCTATAATTTACTCAAAATTCTATCTTTACGTATTACGAATAATACGGAATTTTATATTTCGAAGCTTTGGTGTCTTAAATTGATGAGAGAATTACAGTTTTTTTTTACGGCTTGTGGATGTTCTTGTTAGTTCCTTAACAAAAACGGTAGGTCTTAAAGTAGGCGAGTGATTTAAGACTGAAATGTTTTAGGGTCTAAAAGGGGAAATAACAAAATCACAGCTTGAAGATGCATTACAAAGATATCTAGTTGAGAGTTCGACGAATTAGCCCATTTGAATTTTACCGCTTGAAGTGTTGATAATAAATATTGAAGAGTTAGGAATAAAACTGGTTTGAATGACCCAGAATTTAACAGCGCTGAGCGGGTAATAAGCCAAGGAAGGCTGTTTATTGTGAAAAACTAATGTGACAAATTTCAGAAGTGCAAGTAAATGTCGTCATTATCACGAGGTGTAGTTTTAAATTAAACTTGTACTTTTTGCCCGCAAAATGAACAAGATTGTTGTAGAGATGCAGAGATTGGCAAATAGTTAAGTTTTGTTGGAGTATTTGGTGGAGTATACCATTTCTTGGCGAGGTTAGAGTGGTAGAAATGAAATATTTTCGTATATTAATGAGGTTTCGAAAAAACTCCGGTGTAAAATGACCTGTAGATGGATCTTTGCAGAAGTGTTGCTATTGAAGTTGCTTGCGTTTTAGTCACTACTCGGGACTTTTAAAAGACAACGAAAAAGGTCATAAAAAAAAATAAAATGAAAAGAAAAATGAAAACAAGATCCATTACAACAAAGCTACGCGACTGAAAACAAAACTCGCAGTTTGAGCATTAGTATGAAATAATAAATACGACTAACCCAAGCGTGCCTGTAAACAAAAAGAAACACACGTTTTCAATCTTATTTGTTTGAAACCTGCGGCTTTAAATTTGTTTCAAAACAGCAACGATAAATGGTCTCCAACAGAGGAGTAATAAAGCTGAAAATATGGTAATTTGTCTGTCTACTGAGGTAAAATATCGAATACTTTTACTTCAAAGGATTACATTTTAGTGTACGAGTTTTTGAGATGATGTCGGGAGGCTTAATATGTTTACTGAGTATTTTGTCGAATATTTAGTTGTTGTAGCTGGGTAGTAAATTATTTTCTCATAATTACGCTGTTTGAATGACTTGACGTTGAAGTAACTTACCACAAAGGGCAAATATTCTGTGCTAATTATTACTGCTATTAAGAAAATCTATACATGTCTGCATTCAGCTGGCCGTGCATTTAAAATGAGCAAAATGGACTCCGGTTTTACTGATTATTTTGGAAACATAGGAGTCAAAATTTTGCATGAGCAAGGTCGAATAATTCACCTTCCTCCTTATCTGTAATTAGAAAAAATGCTTTTTCTTGTTTTTTTTTTTAATTAATATAATTTTTTGCTCCTTATTCAGTCATACCCTGTTCAGGATTAATATGCATCCTTCAATCATTTCTCATTATGGCAATACAGGTGCAATCAACAATAGGTTTTGTTTAAAATGCGGCTTTTCTATTGGCGAACAATCACATTCAACACTTGTTGTTTGGTTTAACTTCAATCGGCCCATCGTTAGTCCTAGTCCAGTTATTCAAAAATACACAATAAGTTCAGCGCGTGCGTTCAGTTTAACAAGTCAATCGGCGGGCCCCGCACGTGTCATGTACGAGACCATTTGCTGCGGCTGACAATAAAACAGAGAAAGCACAATCACCATAAAGAAAGAATCAACATAAGTCGGTTACTACTTAACGCAACGCAAGTTTGCTTTCACTTCAGATCCAATTAACACTTCTTTCGAGCAGATCATAACCCGAAAGGCAGCTTTGCAAAGAAGTAATCTCAACTAACGGTCAAGGCACCCAACAGGAAAATTCTAGAAAGTTTGAAATGCCGAAGTCTTTCCTTTTAAAGAGACGAACTCCACAAACCACAACGAACTCCAGTCTCAAAATTGTTGATTATAAAGAAGGTTTGTGGATAACTATCATTTATTTTTAACCAGTCAGAAATCAAATTTTTGTTTAAATATCGATTCGATTGAACGTAAAAAAGGTTTTATCCTTTAAGTTACTAGTTTGTTATTTACATTAAGATAGTCGATGTCAACTTGTTTTGGAATTAGTTGAAACAAAGTAATGTTTTTTTCAAGTTTTAATATCGACCGTTTTTGGTACAATCCCTCTGAAAATAAATGTACATTAGCTTGCGGCATCTGCCAAACTGTAAAGTACGAAAGCGTCTTTAAAAAAGAGAGTTTTGTTAACTTACGCGGAACATTTCATTTTGGTCTAACAGAAGCAGTCTCGAACAGCTTTCAGTTAAAAAGATCCTTTGAGGAACAAACCTACAGACCTCTGCACCAGGAACCCAAGCCAGAACCAAGAGAGGAATTATTGGTTCAGAGCTCGGTACTTCAGGGCGCAGGTTACAACACAAGGGCTTTTGTCGTGAACGACGAGCTTGTTAACCATTCAAGTGGCCGCCAGTTCTCCATTTTAAGCCCATATTACCACTTCACAGCTCCTGAGAGATTAGTAAACGCCGTCCATATGCATCCTGCCGCAAACGAACATTTCTTCTGGAGAAATGAGCTTAGTATCTCTTCCACCCCAGCTTGTTGTGATATTTATCAGCACGGAGTTCCTCTTGTAACTCCGCCTTCGATTTCCATTCCCGAGAAAGTCAAAGAGCCCTACCAGTGTGATCAGTGCGGTAAGATTTTCAAAACCAAATATACCTTAGCCATCCATTTAAAAATGCCAAATCACACTCATGCTCGGCCCTTCGTATGCAATACGTGCGGTAAAGGCTTCCGATTGTCTTCTACACTTTGCAGGCACAAGATCATTCACACTAAAGAAAAACCGTACAAATGCCATGTTTGTGAAAAAGCATTTAATCGCTCGTCTACACTTAAGACACATATCCGCACCCATAGTGATGATAAAGAATTTGTTTGTGATCGCTGTGGCAAAGGTTTCCATCAAAAGGGAAACCTGCGAAATCACTTTCTCATTCACACGGGAGAAAAGCCGTATAAGTGCAGCTTGTGCCAGAAAGCTTTCAATAAATTGTCGAATTTGAAGTTTCATATGCATGTGCACACAGACAATTCGCCATACCGATGTAAATTTTGCAAAGTTTCCTTTTCACGAAGATGCGATTTGAAAAGTCATATTCAGAACGCGCATGTTGGACAGGATGCAAACTAAATCCTTTGCTTGTACTCTAAAGCAAGGAAATCCAAACCCTTGGTGGCACCCTAAAAAGTATCATCTGATCAAGGCTTTCAGAGATCTTAGATAAAAAGCATCGCTCAATAACCCTAGATTTTCGTTTTGGTTTTGCAAGAATTTTCTTTTTATTCAATTTACGAAGTCGAGGAAATGTTTTTGAGGTTTCGAAGATACAGTTAACTTAGTTCCTATATGATTTTTCTTGATAACCACTTGTATAATTGTAACTTATGAAAACTGAAGGAGAGCTTGTCGAATCTTACGAATCGATAACCGAACATAAAAACTGTCTCCTAATTCTAATCATATAATTCTAGAAAAAACACCTTTGAATAACACGAATGTATTCTTTTGTAGCATAGGTACTTAAGGTTTTTTGTGTCAAAAATTCGAAGAATACACACTTAGGTTTGTACTATGATATGTAAAAAAAAGGTTGTGAAGTTGCTTAAACTGTAGATAATTGTACATAGCCCCAATTTTAAATATTTGTAACGATAGTTAGTTCCGATAAATGTACTCCTTTTGAAATTAAAATAAATATAACCTCCTGTCAAGATTATCTCTTAAATTCTAATTAGTAGACGTTGTACTTCATATGCCAGTATTTATTCTGTGGTTATATTTTACAGGGTATCGAATGACTTTCTTCCCGTTTTGCCCGGTCTCGAATTAATACTCTTTTCTGGTTGACATAGCGATAATGAGGAATTTGTTTTGAGATAGCAAAATTAGCTATAATTCTGTCGATTTTTTGGAACTCAGTAGGCAGACTTTTCTATCTGCTCTAAGATCTGTCCTCAAAATAAGATTTAAACGGATGCAGAGTACGTCCATTTTGCAACTCTTCCCGCCAAAAAACAAATTATCAAATACAAGAAGACGTCAAAGCTTAATTGTCTTGAAAAGTCACTGTGGCAGGCAACTGTGTTTATGAAATGACATGAAGAAAACAAAAGCGAAGTCCTCTGAATATATGTCGAAACATTAAGAAACCTGCAAACATTAAAAAACGTCCTAACCATTTTTTTTTTTTTTTAACCAAAACCCCAGGGTAAATATTTTTAATATGGCAGCAGCGAGGTCGTTGTTTACTTTTTCCCTCGAGGGTGGACTTCAAATGTAAGGAGTCTTTAGGGTATTCTTGTTAATAAGGTAAAGGTAGGCAAAATATTTGTAACAGTTGCAAAAGCAAGTAGCTACTCTGCAATTTTTCAATTTTTTACCTCTAAGATTCATACTTTAAGTTGTTATTTTTGCAAATAAGCATTAAGCGTTACATGAATGAAGTGGAAAGTCAAGTTAGAAATTCGTGTTTCTTCGAGTGACAATTTAGTCGGCACCACTCTACATAGAAAATTGAATCAGTCGTAAATGGCGCTTTCAAAGGAAACACGCTGTTATAACATCACAAACACGAGGAATGACTAGTCATTCCAACATTAAAAATTAATTCGTTCCTATTTTCTCTAAAAGTTACATGTATTCTTTCCAAAGTCCGTTTTAGAGGGTCACACCTTTAAATACACGATAACTTTCCTCTTAAGAAAAAAGATTTTAGTGTTTTGTTTCAGGCGATTTCTGAGAGGCAAGCGGTAAACTAATGTTGTGGTAATAGACAATAATAGTTCTTTGGAGGCGAGTTGCACGCGCTCAGAAGATATACTAGTCCATGTATATTGTGCACAGAAATAACTCGGGGTTGTTAAATAACAAAATAAAACAAAACAAAAATTCAATGTTACTTTCCAGACTTATGACCTTTATATTAAAGGCTGCAAAGTGTTTGCCAAATTAGGTTTATGAGACCGAACTCCCTCGACGCCTGTATTATGATAGATTTCATAGCCTGTTAAGATTCGAGACAGGGTTCTTTGAAAGTATTACGAAAGGTTTAAATATTAACAAAAAAAATAGAAGAAGAAAAAAAGATTACTAAGAAACTCTCAGCTGGCCGTTACATCGTTATTCAACAGAATAAAGAACGAAGCGTCACATAACAGGTGACTTCGGCCATATTCTAGTTTCAATTTTGGAGCGCACCTGAACCTAATGATGTAGAAACAGTCTCAATGGTCTTACCAACAGTTGACATTCAACGGGAGGTGTTCTCACAGGAGGCAAGTTAATACCACCCGCATGTTTAGTTTAAGCAATCAATTAAAATTTCTGTTATTTTCACCAGTCGCTTTGTGACAGCTGAGGGACTGATCTAAGTTTAGGCGTAAATATTACCCATTTATGGCAACATTGCATACTATGGACTGATATTGATTAAAAATTTGTCAAAGGTTCTGCCGAGTGATCTAAGTTCATTATACTTAGAAATTAAGGACTCTGTAAAACGTTATTACTTTTTACGTTAACATTCGGGAGAAGACTTGATTCATCGTTTTATATTGCATCGTTTTCTTTCGCGTTATATTACTAAAACTTTACACAGTGCGACTACGACACCTGCGAAATTTGTTATCATTCATAAACAAAAAATGATGCATCACACAGTTTTCTAGTGTTAAATCGGCTGTTAAAAAATGGTTTGGCTTAAGAAATCCGTTCTTAAGATCAGGAAGGGAGTAGAACTGCATAACAATCGATGAGAAATAGCGACATACACTGCAAGTTTCTGATATAACGATCAATGATAGCAGATCATAGCTCAAAAATAAATTTCTCCCCAGGACTTTGCCTTTTGATTAAAAGGAAAAGCCCCGGGAGCTGGCGAAGTCCATTGAAAGGCTCGCTACCTCGTGGGCCAAGTTTTTGGACCCTGGAAATAGTTGTTTTTCAATTAAGCGATGGCTGGTGACCTGTTGTCTAACGCACCCTCATTCAAATAAACCGACTTACTGTCGCACATGGCCTAAGTTTCCCTGCTCAGCATGCTTTCATGACACGTTCGAAAACGTCGGCTCCCTATTATTCCTGAAAAAAGAATTAAGTTATTAAACCTGCGTTATGCATTAATTCCTATTAGATGCTGAAATAAGCAAGACACTACACGTGCTCTGATTGGTCAAAAAATCACAATTAAAACCAGAGAAACCTCAACTATTTTTAATCAACAGGCCGCTAACACTATCGATTACCAGCATTTTGACCGACCATCTTTCGTGCCTTATTACACTGGTAAACCAAAAGCAAGATGATGGTCTCTATTGCTTAAAAACTTAACAGATATTAATTATTTTAAGCTTCCACGTGTCAATTTTGTATTCTGGCCAATATTTCCCTGCTATGTCGCTTGTCTATCGGTGATGTGATTATGAAAAGCGTTACCCCAAGAATCAAAGGATTGGAAGAAAAAAGGCATCAGTGAAAATCCTTAATTTTTTTCCATCGAAAGAGACTGAAATTTGTCTCTATAACAATATTGAGTGGTCTGGAAAAAAATAAAATAAATTTTGTCCAATAAACTTTGAATCTCATTTGCAGCTTGTCAAATTCAAGCTTGAATTTCTTATCACCAGATGAAGCCCAAATTTTAATGACCATGGCTAATCGAAAAAAAAAAAATGAAAAAAAGCTTGATTATTTTGACTGAACGGAAATATAGTAACTAAAATTTTGACGAAGGGAAATTACTAGGAACAGTTCATGCCTCCCATGAATATCAAGATCCTTTAGCCCTCGTTACCCAATCATTTATTTCTTGAAAAGAACAAGGGGCTGACCCGAGTTTAATGTTACTGGTAGAGAACCATCTGAAGAAACGGTTAGAGTTTCTGAAGAATTCAAAACATTCCCCAGAGTATTCCCCGGTTGGTATGGGGTATCCCTGACCGAAATATTGATGGATGTATCCAGATTGGTTATGACAACCAGTATGCCTCCTTTAGAGAAGGCATAAGCATCAGCCTGGACGTGCCTCTCCACCTGGTAAGGTAAACAAAAACACATGAACACAAGTTAAGGAATGCGTTCAAAGGCGAAATTGCTTTTTGAAAGAGCTAGTCAATAGGTCTAAGATGCGAAACTCTTAACAAGGAGTTCAATCTTTCTCCGGTGGGTCTATGTCTCTGATACATTAAAAGCCAACCAGTCGAGTATAAAATGGAAACATTTTTAAAATCAGAGAGGCATTCTCTTCAATACATCCACTAGACGAAGACCGACGCCCGCGATCCGTGACTGTGGGCCGGCAAACTGCGCATGCAGTATAAACAAAAGCGTTCAAGATGGCAAGTAGGAAGTACTTCAAGATATGAACATCGGTTTTTCATCATGTGCGTTACCTGTTTGTCTTGTATCCATTCATTTCCAAGAGATCTTCTGAACTTCGCGAGTGTCTGAATAAACTTATACAATGGGTTTGCGGTGGACAAAGAGGGCCAAAGAGATTCACGGTTATTTGGGTCGGAGCCGCCGTTAAATCCCTGTTCGGTGCCGTAGTACAAAATTGGGATCCAGTCTCCCATCATCAAAAATGCAAGAGCGTTCTTCAGTGATGTGTGGCTTGGGTTAAGATTCAAGAATCTTTGATTGTCGTGGTTATCCAGAAAGCCTCCAAAGACTGATCTAGTTAAAAGCAAAACAACTGTTATGTCCTGTCCAATTTTGAGTTCTAATTGTATCTTTTTCAGTTGCGAGACCATTCCACTCGTACGAGACATACGAATCTATGCTAATGTCTGAGTAACTGTGCACCTACCCCTCCCCTAGCCCAACATTAACCTGTATTTGTTATCAGTTGACTTTTTTTGGGTTAGGGGAGGGATAGATACGCAGTGGCTAAGATAGAGATATTGATCCACACATCTTGAAATACAGAAAGATTTACCTGTCCTTATAAATTGTGTAGGAACTCTTTACGGCAGCACTAAGTGCAGTAAAATCCTTTGATTTTTCCTGAAAGATCTTCCGCAGGGTCCAGTACATTGGATAAGCTAGCACAGAGTCAATATACCCCTGGTATTCCGCTACATATTCCATTGATCCACAGGGTGGGGGACCATTGTTTGCCTCCCCGATCATAAACGCTCCTCCAGCTTTACGAAACTCTGCCCAGAATGTCTTTGGAACCTGTATGGTAGTGTCCAGGCGATAACCGTCAAAGCCAAACTCGTCAGTCAGACCTTGGATCCATTTCAAGAGCGTTGTGGCTACAAATTGATTGCTTTGGTCAAGATCAGGTAGGCCTGCAAGCCAGTAGTTCTCGATCTTCCATTGGTCTTTACATTCTTGAGGCCATTTTATGTAAGAATGTTGGGGATGGTAATGTCTTGATTCATTAAAAGGAATAAGGTTATTAAATCCAGTACCGGGTGGGTAACCCATGTGGTTGGCCACAAGGTCAAGCATTACCCAGACTCCCCTCTCGTGACAGGCTGCTACTAAGGATTTCAGATCATCCCGGCTTCCAAAGTGCGGATTTATTTCAAATATGTTCTGAGCCCAGTAACCATGGTAACCTCTATCGGTATTTTGCACAATGGGTGAGATCCATATAGCATCAACGCCCAGGCCTGTTATGTAGTCCAGGTGTTTTTCAATCCCTTTGAACGTGCCACCGCAATAGTTCTTTAAATCATCACATTTTCTGGACGGTAAATCTCCAGAGGGGGCAAACCGATCCGTCAGGAGCTGGAGAACAAGAAAGCAAAGTTCAGTGATTGAGAGATGATATCAGAAGAGGCACATTCTTATCCTCGGGATGTCACGCAAAGCTTACTCTAAATGAATTGCGTGACATCCCAAAGAGCGGCTGCGAAGGAAACATTGCATAACATAATACATCAACTTGCCGATTCTCCCCTCTAGCTGCTGCATATCTCCTTGTAAATCAGTTGCGATAATTTGGAGTATATACATATATTTTATTCATACATTATCAGCCAAAATAGGTCATGAAAATACTCGAATGTACCAGGAAGAAGTAGTTATCTTGATCTAAATTCTCGTAACTTATTTACAAGGAAATGTGTGGCAGCTAGATGGGAGAATCAATAATCAGAACTTTGGAGTTAAAGGGTTAAGATGGGAATCAGCTGTGTATTTATGACTATGCTTTTTGTCATTAAGTTGACGCCTCTCTTCTCTTCCCGATATTAAACAGTGGGTTGTTGTCATGCTAGCCTGCACATCAGGTGTCCCTTGACTTGCTATCAGGTGTCTTTTCTTAAAGTAGGAGGGCGAAATTGGTTAGCATGAAAGTCTGCTGGCGAGAAAAGGGAGACATTGACCAGACTTTTGGTCATTTTTTACGTTGACCCTTCGTTATGCGGAATAAGCTGAGCTAATGGGAATCGCACGATTTTGGGGCAGAGTGGGGTAAACAAATTGCTAGCAGAGAGGACATAGGAAGAAAAGCAGGGTTTCTTTTCTAACGCTCCCCCCCCCTCCTCCCCGCCCCTCCAG